ACCAACCTTTCAGTTAGCAGCTGAGCACTTAACTGTTGCACCACCAGGGCTCCATTAATCTTTAGGCTAGTAGAGGACAAACTTACTTTCTCAATGAGGCTCTCCTGTTTAAAACTGGAATTGCCGTACCTCACCCATCTCCCATGCTCCCCACTCCCCTTTCCTGCTTCATCTGTCTCCATAGCACTTACTCCTGTCTATATTTTACATATTTATTTTGCTTATTGCCTGTCTTTTATCACTCAGATATAAAGTCCACTAGGGCAGTGATTTTGATCTGTTTTGTTCTTTGCTGTATTTTCAGTGCCTAGAACGTTCCGGACAGTGGGAAACACTCTGCCTGAAGAACTGGGCAGGCCGGCCCCTCTGCCCTTGAACCTCAGGCCCTACCCCTGCTGCCTGCTCATCAGAAGCTGTGTAGCGTGGGTCCTGGGTGGGCCAGAGGCTGGGCTGGGTCCCCCCACTTTTCCTGTGCACTACAGGGCTTGAGGAAAGCGTCCTTTTGGCTTGAAGGCGTGTAGGCTTTTGTCTTGGTTTTCCAAACCCGAGGCTGTGAACTCATGTGGCAACAGGGACATAAATGACCGAGGCGGGCAGGTGGGAACTCTGCACACCTGGACGACTGAGCCATGGAGGGTAGGTCCAGCGTGGCCAGATCTCCTGGTTTCTTATACAATTGGAATTTTATATGAAACTTCCCAAATTGTATGAGCTGGCGATAAATTCGGGAACATTGAAGACACTGCCCAGGCTGTGACAAAGCATATCTTCAGGGGGCGTGGCCTCCAGACGCAAACTCTGTGGACCGTGTTGTTGTTTGGTGCTGTTGAGTCGATTCAGACTCTTAGTGACCATATGAGACAGAGCAGAGCTGCCCCATAGGGTTTCCTGGGCTGTAATCTTTACGGGAGCAGATTGCCGGGTCTTTCTCCCTCGGAGCTGCTGGATGGGTTCTAATCTGTCAACCTTTTGGTTAACAGCTGTGCACCTAACCACTGCACCATCAAGGCTTCTTTGTCGACCACAGGAGCAGCTAATAGGCTTCTTTTGTGCCGAGGCAGCCTCAGACACAGATCCTGAATCCCCGTTGGGAGGTATCAGGACAGTGATATTCTTTCTTCTGCCCTGACAGTGAGATCTTTCGTGTACCGCAGAGGCACTGGGGTTGCTGGGCGGTTCCTGGGCTGGGTGGTCGGGATGCCTGGGTGCTGGCCCCAATGCTGGGGACCTGGCACTTGGGAAGGTGGCCGCAGTCCTGGCACTTACCCTCTCTCCACCAGGAAGGAGTCTCGCCAGACCCTCATCTTCTTTTTCAAGTGGAACCTGGAAGAAAGCACAGCTCCAGCTTCTCATCCACATGGGGGCCTCACATGTCCCCCTGCCCCTAGGACAGTGGCAGCCTTGGTCCCCAACCAGCATAGGCCCTGGGTGGCAGCTGTGGGGCACCGGAAGGCTCTCCCACACACGCATTCACACCTTCAGAGCAGAGCTGCCTCTTCCCCAGAGGCTGGGGTTTAAAGGCACGTTGCTGTTAGCTGCTGTCAGGTCAGCCCGACTCATGGTAACCCCATGCACAGCAGAATCAGACCACTGTGATCCACAGTGTTTGTCACTGGCTGATTTTTGGAAGTAGATCACCAGGCCTTTCTTCCTAGTCCATCTTAGTCTGGAAGCTCCGCTGAAACTTGTTCAGCATCATAGCCACACACAAGCCTCCACTGACAGATGGGTGGTGACTGGGCATGAGGTGCACTGGCTGGGAATCGAACCTGTGTCTCCCACGTGGAAGGTGAGAATTCTACCACTGAACCACCGCTGCCCTCTTAAAGGCATAAACCAAAACCATTTGCCATTGAGTCGACTCCAACTCATGGCGACCCCATGTATGTCAGAGTGGAACTGTGCTCCATAGGGTTTTGAATAGCTGATTTTTTGGAAGTAGGGTCACCAGGCCTTTCTTCCAAGGTACCTATGGGTGGACTCGAACCTCCAACCTTTAGGTTAGTAACCGAGCACATTAACCATTTGCCCCACTCAAAGACCCCTCTTAAAGTAAGCACAGAGAGCAGAAACCACCTAGGGCCGAATTGCCTACATAGGTGTATGTGTGGATGACTCAGTGTCCCCCCTGGAAGCCCGACGACGCCCCCGTCCCCGGCCCCCATGTTGGAAGAGACCCCTTTCTCTTCGGCTTAGCACCAGATGAAGTGGTTGTCTTGATTCCAGGCTAACTACTTTGTGTTTTGGGAGGATCTTCTTGGATCTCTTACAGTAGGATTTGGGTAATTTCAGTGTGCATGCCATGTGACTCCACTCTGTCATTTCTGTGTCCCAGATGGGGACTCTGAGGCGGAGAGAGGAAGCTTCCATCCTACCCCTCCCCGCCAGGTGTCCTGATTCCGAAGCTAGTGCCCCAGGCCCCAAACATGTCCATCGTGTATCCTGACAACTCAGAAAGCCTCACTATCGGAGGGAGGAGGTTAAAGGGAGGTGGTCCGCTATAGGGTAGCCAGAAGGGGACAGCCGACGCCATCAGGGCTGGGTCCTCTGGGAGCCACAGAGGAAGTGAAGCTGAGGAGGTGCCCGCCAGGGCTGAAGAGTCAGCCCCTTGGGGCCATGAGCTGTTGGGCAGTTCCAGCGCTGGCCACCAGATGTCGCTGCTTCCACACCATTGGCTGCGCCCCCTTACTTTGCAGTCTCTGCTCTGCCCAGACTCAGTTCACCTTCGCACCTGTGTATATTTTGCTCACTTTCAGCTCCCTTTTCTGCCTCCCAGGACACCTAGGAATCACATGATCCGGCATTAAAGCACAGAGCACGGCGTCTAAGAGTGCAGCCTCTAATCTAGAGTCTGAACGCCCAGAGTCACATCCAGACTATGTAACCTCCGGCAAGTCACTTAACCTCTCTGGGATTCCCTTTCCAAACTGCGGGCAAAATGCGGATGATGGTAATAACACCCATCTCACTAGGTCGTTGTAAACATCAAAGTGGTACAACTCCCTGCATGCAAAGTACTCAGAACAGAGCCCGGCACCCAGTAAGTGTGCAATTAGTGTTAGCTCTCGTTATCATTATTGTTGCTCTTATTATTTCAAGTTTCACGTAACATTCGCTCTGGAGGGTCCTCAGCTGGCTGCCTAGGCCATATTCCAGATGGGAAGACGGAGTCATAGAGAGGGGAACACCCTTTTCTCCCCCTCCTCCCCATGGCAGTTAAGTGGCCGGGATGGGGGCACCCTGGAGCCCCAGCTCCTGACTCTTGGAGACCCTGCCCTCTCAGATCCCCGCTGTCTGGCTGGGAGTCCACGCAGGTTGGGAGCCTGGGACCCGTCCCTGCAGCCCCGCCTCACCCCCTTCCTCACCGGTTTGCCGGCCGCTCCGCTTCCAGCAGCTTGAGGATGGACTTCCCATCCATGTCTGCAGGGATGTCCAGGCCTGCAATGTCCAGGATGGTGGGAGCCAGGTCGATGTTGAGGACGATATGGGGGTTCCTGGGGAGGGAGGGAGGGCAGGGACTTGGTCACCTGGGCAGTGAAGCCTGGCCTTGCTTGGGAGAGGGGCACTTGGAGGGTGTCATGGATTGAGTTGTGTCCCCCAAAAATATCTGTCAGCTTGGCTGGGTCATGATTCCCAGTATTGTATGATTGTGTTATCTGCTGTGATTTCCTTACGTGTTGTAAACTCTATCACTATGATGAGATTATATGTGATCTCCTTATGTGTTGTAAATTCTATCACCGTGGTGAGGTTATACTGATGAGGTTGACAAGATTAGTGTCTTAATGCAATCTCTTTTGAGATATAAAAGAGAGAAGCGAGCAGAGACACATGGCCTCACCCTTTCCTCCCTCCTGGCCTCTGCTTGGCTGTCTCTTCTGCCAGCAATGCCCTCCCTGCCCACCATGACCTGAACAAAGGTACCCAGCCAGACCTCCACCTGGACTCTTCCCTGGACCCTGCCCTGGACCCTCCCCTGAGCCTCTGAGCAAACCCTGGCCCTCTTGCTGTTCTTTATCATGCCAGGCACAGTCCTGCCTCAGGGTCTATGCCCTTGCTGTCCCCTCTGCCTGGAATGTTCTTCCTCCAGATGTCAGTGCAGCACTTCGCCTCCCCCTTTTAGTTCTCTGCTCAACTATTACTAGGGAGGCCTGTGGCAGACAGACTGTAAACAAATGCCCCCTACGGCTCCCACCTCCTGCTGCTCACACCTTGTGCGATCCCCTCCCTCCGAGTGCAGGCCTGACGGAGACTTGCTTCTAACCAATAGAATATGGCAAAGTTGATGGCGTGTTCCTCCCATGATGCTGAGAGTCAGTCTCAGGGTTGCTGTTCAAACTATTGTTTGGTTTCCTAAGCTGGACAGCTGAAAGTCTGCAGCTGTTGACCTTGCCACCACAGTAGAAACACCTGCCTGAGAAGGAAGCTAATTCAGAGAAAACAGGGCTGTGAAATGGGAAATGAGAGATTCTTGATGTCATGGTGTGACTGCTGGATCCATCCATGCCTGAAGCCAGCTTATCCTTGGACTTTTTGGTTACTTTAGTCAATGCATTCCTTTTGTCTTATTTGCCTAATCTAGTTTGAGGGTCCGAGCTGACAAATGTACCATATTATCTTCAGCCCCTAACCTGACATTATTAGCATCCTCTTTTTCTTGTCCATGTGAGGTGTGGTTTTGGGTCCTATGAACAAGATCACAGACTCCCAGGCTGACCTACAATGTCATGCTGGAAGAGCCTTCCACCAACTAACCAATTAGTTGCTATTGAGTTGGCTCTGACTCATGGTGACCCCATGTGTGGCAGAACAGAATCGTGCTTGTTAGAGTTTTCAATGGCTGATTTTTTGGAAGTACATCACCAGGACTTTCTTCCAAGGCGCATCTGCGTGGACTCAAACTTCAAACCTTTAGGTTAGCAGCTGAGCATGTTAACCATCTGCACCACTCAGGGACTCCTGAACAGCCCTCTGTAGATATTAAGTCAAATCCTCTCTCTGCAGGGGCAGCTTGAGGATTCTGAGAGGCAGTGTGGCACGGTGGATAGGAGCAGGGACTGTGGGGCTTCAAATCCCAGCTCCTTCCCTTACTTGCTGTGTGACCTCAAGCACTTAACCTCTGTGTGACCTCAAGCACTTAACCTGTCTGTGCCTCAGTTTCCTTGAGTATAAAACAGGGACAATAATTAGCACCCGTCCCCTGGGTTGCTGGCACGCTTCAGTGAGTTATATGGATCCAAGGTGCTCCGAGCAGGGCCGGGAGAATAAGTGCTATAGACACCTGAGCTATTATTATTGTGCTGTTAGTACAGGTGGGGACCCTGAGATCCAAAGGCAGGGAGTGGGGTGATGAGGTCACATAACCTGCCTCCAGAAGTTTCCCTGAGGGGCAGGGAGTCTTGGTCTGTAATCTGCACTGCACTGTCCAGGCCCTCTCAGGAGCGATTCTACAGCAGCTGCGTGAGTGGCTGGGGTGTGTCCATGTGTCTGGGCCCTACTGAAGGCCAGGCCAGCGAGAACAAATGAGAATCTTCATAATGATTATCCGCATTTAGAAAAACCCATCTGAGTTGGTCTCCGTAACATCCCAGCTGATCACAGCTGCTGCCGTGATGGCCAGCCCTTCTCTGCTCTCCCCGGCCCCACACGCAGTGTCATCTCCGAGGTGAGCCCAAGGAGAGGTGCTGGTGGGGGCCGCTGCCCACGTGGCGCTCAGAAAGGATGAGCGGGGAGGCCTTGCCTTTGTGTTACCACCTGTCTGCCCGCCCGGGTCTGGCTCAGCCGATCTCTACCACACCCAGCCGCTGGCCGCGGTGGTGGGTTCCTCCCTGACAGCCCCCAGCCCTGATGATGGCCCAGCCTAGGACAGAAATCAGAGTGCTACTCCGCTGGCTGGGCCTCCTGGCACTCCGCCCAGCCACAGGCAATCTGTTTTCACAGGTGCTAGTGGCTCTGGGCCTCTGCTTCCCCGACAGAGGGGTAGGAAGCGTGTCAGAAGCCACCCTGGGTGATGTAATCATTGTTTTAAACCGCGCCCAGGTCCCCTGCCAACGTTGCGCGCTATCCAGAGGGTGACTCGGCCTGCGAGGCACCACCACCTGCTTCTCTCTGATCTGCACTGAGCTGAGCTCGGGGGGCGCCCTGGGGATGTGGGGCTCTGAGGGGTGACACTTACAGTGAGCCAGCCTCCACGTTGGGGCCCCTCACGTAGAAGGGAACCCTGATGTCGAACTCATAGGGCATGGACTTCCCCTTCACCAGCCCGAACTGGCCGATGTGGTAGCCATGGTCGGCGGTGTAGACGATGTAGGTGTTGTCCAGCTCACCCGTCTCCACCAGCATGTTGTAAATCTGCAACACAGGCCGGAGCGGAGGGCAGGGGTCAGGGGCATGGGGGGCTCTGCCCGCCTCTCACCAGGGGCTGACGAGGTGCTTGAGATCCCAAAACCCCTCCCTCCCCTCCTTCAGGGGTTTTTTGCCTACACGTCACCTTGGTGAGGGCTCTGGGACCACCCCAGTTAAAAGTCCTCCACCTCCTGTCACTGCCTGTCACCTTCCCCCTTTTCTTGTCTTCACAGCACTGCTATCTTTCTGTCAACTTACACGGCTGGTGTTAGGTGCTGTCGAGTCAATTCCAACTCACAGCGACACCATGTGACAGAGTAGAACTGTCCCATAGGTTTCCTAGGCTGAAAACTTTACGGGAGCAGATTGCCAGGTCTTTCTCCGGCGGAGCCACTGGGTGGGTTTGAACTGCCAACTTTTCAGCTAGCAGCCGAGCACTTAACTGTTGTGCCACCAGGGCTCCTTATCGACTTACGTAGTCTACTTACTTGTTTATACCTGACTCCCTGCACTAGAATGTAAGCTCCATTACGGCAGGGATTTTTGTCATTTTGTTCCCTGCTGTATCGCATATGTTTTGGCACTCAAATGTTTGTTGAATGAATGAATGAATAAATAAATGAATATGGCCTGTGGCCTGTGGCAGGAGTTTGTGATCTAGAACAGCGCTGCCCAACAGAACTTTTTAGGATGATGGATTCTGCATCTGTGCTGTCCAGGATGGTAGCCACTAGTCCAGGTGGCTGTTGAGTACTTGAAATGTGGCTGGTGAGACCAAGGAACTGAATTTTAAAATCACTTTTATCTTAACTCATTTAAACAGCCATGGGTAAATAAAATCCATACAATGGGATATTCTCCAGGAGTGAAGTACTGATACACCCTACTACATGGAGGAACCTTGGAAACGTTACGCTAAGTTAAAGAAGCCAGTCACCAAGGACCACATGTTGTATGATTCCATTAATATGAAATGTCCAGAACAGGCAAGTCTATGGAGACAGAAAGTAGATTAGTGGTTGCCTTTGCATGGGGGCATGGGGTGAATGGGAGGTGATGGCTAAGGGGTATGGGGTTTCTTTTGGGGTGATGAAAATGTTCCTAAATTGTGGTGACGTTACACATTGTGAATATACTACAGACCACTGAATTGTACACTTAAATGGGTGAACTGTATGGTGTGTGAATTGGATCTCAATTTTTTTTTTTAATTAAATAGCCACATGTGGCTACTGTGTTGGGCAGCACCAATCTAGGATATAGATTCCCGAAGGCAGAGGTTTTTGTCTGCATTGCTCAATGCTGCTTTTGCAAGGCCTTGAACAGGGCCTCCCCATTCTGCCTTCTGTTTCCATTCCTCCCTGGCTGATGATGCTCGGAAAATGGTGAACGGTCGGGAGGGTTCAGGGCTGGTCACGGCTGAGGGTTCCTGAGCAACCCCTGGGAAGAGGGTGCGCGGGAAGTGGCGGGCGGGTGGCCTACCGTCTCCATGGAGTCGTCCACGGACATGAGGGTCTGCAGGCGCTTCTGCTGCAGCATGTTGGTGAATTCCATGTGGATGGGCTTCATGGGCCCCGTGTAGCGCATGATCCAGTGCTTGTCGGGGTTGGGCGCATAGTTGTAGCTCGGCGTGCTGTCGGGGAAACACACACACACACAGTGGTCAGGTGAGAAGGTGCCTGGGTCACCCCTACGTTGTCTCTGCAGCCACTTGGGGGACAGTGGACACTGGGTGTCAGGGGCCCTGCTAAGCAGCCTCCTCTCCATTAGTCCAGGCTTTCTCCACGTGGCGTGTGCACGCGAGGCTGGAACAGGTGCCGCATTAAATTGAACCCCAAAGTGAGAAGGTCGGCCGGTGTGGCTCTCAGACCTCCCATCACATCCAGGCCGAAGTCTTGCTTTGGTGCTTTCTTGAACGCCCCTCTGGAATTTGCTAGTCTCCCTCTTTAAAGAAGGGAAGGGCTCAAGGTTAAAAAGCCGTCAGCAGGTGCTAGCACCCAACTATAATTTAACGGCATTGCTTACGTTCACTGTATTTTCCAATTACCTTGGTTAAGGGCAAATGACAAGGTTTTTGTGGTTAAAGTAAAAAAAACAAAACAAAGCAAACACCAGTTGCCCTGGAGTTGGTATGTGCGTCAGAGTAGAATTGTACTCCATAGGGTTTTCAAAACGGTGGATTTTTTTTTTTCCAGAAGTAGATAGCCAGGCCTTTCTTCTGAGGCACCTCTGGGTGGACTTGACTCAGCAACCTTTTGGTTAGCAGCCGAGTGCATTAACAGTGTGCACCACCCAGGGACTCTATGGTTAAGGCAGGGCTATAAAGTTTCCTTTTAAAATAAGTTTAGGCTAAAGAAAAAGCTAATAGATGTAAAAATTAAGACAATAATAGTTGTGCATACCTGGCCGGAATTCCAAGCACAGCCTCTAGATGATTGTGTTTGGAACTTGCCACATTTTTTATCTAATTGTCACCATTATCCTTCCAGTTTTGGTTTACTTTTCCATTTTCCCAAAGAGGAAATGGAGGCTCAGAGATTTGGGGATCTGCCCAGGGCCTTACTGAGTGTGAAGCCACTGGACCCTGCAACTCATGCCATGGGGCCAAATGTCATTACTAATGACAAATGAACAAATGAATGATACCCCATGACAGTCCCTGAGCTCTTACCAGGTGTGGGTGCAGTTCGAAGGGCTGGTCTTATATTATCTCATTTAATTCTCCAAATAGTCCTAGAGGCTGGCGCTAGCTTTATTCTCCTTGTGTGAGAAACGAGGAAACTGAGGCCCAGGGAGGTGAACTAACTTGCCAAAGACAGCACTGGGGTTTGACATCTCACAGTCCACCCTTGGGAGCTGACAGGCCAGCCTCTCTGCTATGACCCTAAGTGTCCCCTGACATGTGGGTCAGTCTGGAGACCCTCACATCTATGAGTGCTTCTGCTGGAGAACTGAGCAGCAAGAACACACACATCAGTTCAGTTCACACCCTCGGAACTTACTATTTCCAGAAGCTTCCAGAAATTGATCACTCCATCCCAGACCAAGAGCAAAAGAAAAGCTGTCATCACCCCAGCCCACACTGTGCCCCAGGATCTGAGCTACTGCAAACCCCACCAACATGCGGGGTACCCTGGGTGGGACACACCAGTGACAGGAAATGCTTTATTTAAAACCCCCAACAGAAAATGAGGAACAGGATTTCAAATTCTCATGGAATCTAGACCTTCTGGAGCCACTGAGACTGGCTGACTCCTGAAACTATGACCCTGAGGAAATCTTTAAGCCTTGAACCCAAACTTTCCCTGAAGTCATCTTTGAACCAAATAATAGTTTAGCCTAGTTAGAAAGGGTCTGCATGAAGCATTAGACTCTCTTAGAGAATCATCTGTATGTGACCAAATTGACAACAGCAACTTGAAAGGATAGATGAGAAGCTTAGAGGGACAGTGAGTTTGTGTTAAAAATGGTGAAATCATTTGGAAAAGGTTGTCGAGAAAGGTGCACAACTCAAAGAATGTCACCAACGTCACTGAATTGTACATGTAGAAATTCTTTAAGTGGTGTATGTTTTGTTGTGTTTGTTTTCACCAAAATAAATAAATAGATAAAACCCCCTAACACGTGGGCATGCCTTGCACTGGGTCAGTCGATACTCAAGGGCCAGGTTCTCCTCGTATCTTACCCCTGCCCCAGTCAAAGCCGAGAATAAAGGTTGAGTTTCCACACATTAAAGATGAAAGATTTTCGAAATGGGTATTAGTGGACAAGGGGCTTCGGGGGGAGGGGTGAGGGGAGGGGAGAAAACTCCCTTCCCTCCTGCCTTCCCCCTCAGGGCCTTAACTGCCTCGTGATTATCCAGACCTCTCTTGCTCTCTTGTGTAGAAACCGTGACACTGCAGCTCTCAGTATCCCGACAGCTGTGGAGACCATTGTTAGGTAAAGCGAGGGTGAATCCCAGCTCAGAGGCTCCTTCTGGACTTTGTCGAGTCCCGGGTGGGTCTGCAGCCTCCTGCTGCTGAGTCCACCCTGGTCCCAACTCAGTTCTCCCTGCCACGGCCTTAGGAACATTCCAGAAGCACGCCCCGCGCTGCCTCTGGGCTCCCCCACTGAGGAACTGGAAGGGGGCTGTTGGGGCAGGGGTCGTACACGGAGATGCCCTCAGAGACAGTCAGCGGGGTGGGAGAACTGTTTCGCAGGCCTAAGGGGCCCAGGTTCCAGGATGTAATTTTTAGCTACCATCCCTGAATCTGTTAGAAGATATGGGGGTTTGTGGCCTCGAACAGCGAGGGGGGAGTTGTGAAGAGTCGTCATGGGATGGTCTCTTAAGCCCTTTCTCTGAGACTCTGGGAGAAGGATCTGGAAGCCAGAGGACACAGAGCCTGGGTTCTTGCTTGGGGCTCAAGCCGGGTGCTGGCTCTCTAGGGAGGGTGTTGGCATTTTCACATAAACTGAGCTGCCTGAGGAACAAAGATGGGAAACCCACACCTCCTCAAGAATCCAAGGAATGTCTGCTGTGTTCACAAAAGGGGCTGAAGGAGAACATCTCCCTTTGCTCTGCTGGGTGGGACGGTGGGCTAGTGACCGCCCTCAGCCCTTGCAGCCCCTCACGCGGGACCCTGCCCCCCTGCCCCAAGGCAGCCAGCGCCAGGCTGGCTCTGAGGTCACTTTCTCCCTTGGGGTTACAAAGGGACAGGCCCATAAACCCACATCCCAGATGCCATGCTGCCAAAGGTGTGTGTGTGTTCATGTGTGAGTGTGTCTGTCTGACTGTGTCTATTTGCATGTGTATCTCTGTGCGTACATGTCTCTGTGTATACATGTCTGTGTATTTGTGTATCTTTGCGTACCTGTCTGTGTGCTTGCGTGCATGTGTCTGCATGTCTGTACGTCTTTGTGTACGTATTGGTATGTACATGTCTGTGTGTGTCTTTATGTACATCTGTGTGCTTGTGTGTACGTGTTTGTGTGTGTGTGCTGCAGTGTCTGTGTGTGTATACACATCTGTGTACACACGTCTGTGTGTATACATGTCTGTGTGCGTGTGTATACACGTCTGTGTGTCTGTGTGCAGGGGGTGAGAGGGGCTCCTGTGTGAGTGGAGGGAAAGGCAGCCCGGCAGCAGTCAGCCTCTGCCAAGCCTGCCCCAAAGAGAGCAGGGGGAGGGCGGGCGGGCTGGGTGGGGGTGCGGAGACCGGAGAGGAGACTCCCAGTAAAAAGATCCAGCACTTGGATCTGACAAGCAGGCCCCATCTCCTCTTCACCCCTCCTTGACTGCCATAATTAAACAGCCCAGCTGCAAAACTTTCTTTTTTTTGGTTGTGTTTTGGAAATGATTATACCCCAGAGATAAGAAAGCCTTCCAAACACAGCCCTAATAAGGCAAAGGTGGCTTCCCTGGGTAAGTTATAGCAGGCGTTGCTCATTTGCAATTTCTGTAATTTTCATTTCAAAGAGGAAATAAATGAGCAGGCAATGTCAAACAATTTCAGCATGAAAAGCCGGGGCTGCTGGGGGTGAAGCCGGCCCCTCTTTTAAAGGCGATGCTGCGGCAGCAAGTGTCCACCCCAGGCGCGTCCCTAGATAGGACTGGGTCAGCCACACCACCTCCCTAAAATTTAGTAGGGGAGATGGGGAGAGGCCAGCCTGTGTTGGGGAGCAAAGTGGGCTAGGTGGAAGGGGCCCAGCAGACACGCAGAGAGGCGGTGCTGCAGGCTGGGGAGCGTGAGGGTGGTGCTGCAGCCCTGGAATGCAGTTCATCATCTGTCAAATCCTCCTCCCCACAGGCCAGGGATCAGAAGGTTAACACACCGCCGTTCTTCCCTCTGAGCCACTTCAGGCGCTGTCAGAAAGTAATTACAGCGAGGGGGGTGAGGAGGGCGATGCATTCTGACTGTAATGAAAATTAAACACCCTGGATATTCAGATTCCAAATTGCCCTGTCCTTGTCGCCCCGGAATGTCACAGTAAGGGCTGCTGAGCATTTGGGTCTGTCACTGCTAAGCAGAAGTTGGTCTGGGGGCAGAGAAATGCAGGAGAAAGATTTAATAGCCAGCTGGGTGGAGAAGGACTGGCGGGGTGGGCAGACGGGTGGGTTGAATCCTGGCTCTGCTATTTACCAGTTGGGTGACCTCAGGTAAGTTACCTCATCTTGTTGGGCCTCAGTTTCCTCATCTGTAAAATGGGAATACCAAGTGTGATGGGCAGCCTCGGAGAACCCGCCTCTTGGTATTTACATCCTTGTGTGGTCCCCCTCTTACACTGTAGGAGCATGTGACCAACAGGATATGGCACAAGTGATGGTATGTCACTTCCAAGATTAGATTATAAAAGACTTTGGCTTCTATCTTGGCCTCTCTCTCGGATCATTTGCTCAGGTAGAAGCCAGTTACCATGTTGTAAGGACACTCAAGCAGCCTGAGGAGGCCCATGGTGAGGAAGTGCCATGTGAGTGAGTCCCAGTCAAACTTCAGATTGCAGCCGACCCGACACCTAGGCTGCAACCTTGGGATTCTCTGAGCCAGAACCTTCCAGCCAAGCCACTCTCAGATAACTGACTCACAGCAACTGTGAGACAGTATGTGTTTGATGTTTTAAGCTGCTAAGTTTTGGAGTAATTTGTTGTGTTGCAATAGATGAAGAATACACCAAGGGTCAATGTGAGTATTCAGGGATTTGATGCAATGTAAAGGGCTCAGCATAGAGTCTGCCACATAGTCAATAACTCAGTAAGTGTTGGGAATATATTAGTAGTCTGGTCAGGCAGTGCACCCTTCGTTGAGGAATACTTCTAAGTGTATAAAATATAGAGGATTACCAAGGAAAACTATTAACCTGAAATGCAGTTCTACTCACAGACCTCTTGGAGGGAGATGTGGATTACTCGTTAACACCTCTGGTTTCCTGCTTTGGTGGATCAGCTGGGATGGCTGGGTCTGTACCCCAGTTTCACCCGAGATGAGCAGTGCATTCTTGGGGTCTTTAGAGCAGGAAGATTAAAGAGAAGGCACAGGATGCAGCTATGCCATCAGGGTATCGCAGCCTGTCCCTCCCACCCTTGTGCCAACCAGCGCAGCTCTGTCACACACGTTCGGATGCTTACATGTGCTGGGATGCGTTGGGGAAGAGGCGTGAGTACTGGGGGGCTGAGTCCTCGGGGCCATGGGGGGCTGCATGGCTGATGACCATCAGGACCGGCCTGTGCGGGTACATCTTCTTGGACGTGCGGAAGAAGCTCACGCTGTCATTGGTGATGAGGTCAGTGAGGTAATCCTGGGGGTGGGGAGAGACAGGGAGATGGCATGAGGAGACATGTATTTGTCCTGAGCTCCTGCTGCATGCCAGGCATTGTGTTAGGCATCAGGGACACAGCAGACAGAACAGACAACAATCCCTGCCCTCATGGAGCTTGTGGTCTGTAGGGTAGATGGACAATAACAAATAAGCAAATAAACTATAATATCAAATGATGCTACATGCCATGGAGAAAAATAATGCAGAGAAGGGGTTAGGAAGGACAGGGGAGGGATTACAATGTGTCATTCATGCATAATAAATGTTAAAAATAATAATATAATTGAGTACTTATGGTATGTCAGGAACTGTTCTGTGTTTGCTCCTATTAACTCATTTAGTTTTCATATAATCCTAGAAGGCAGATACAATGATAATCTCTGTTTGTTAGAACAGAAAATTAAGGCACAGAGAAGTTAAGTGAGATGTCCAATGTCACACAGCTGGTAAATGTTGAAGCCAGGACTTCTGAGTCTTGGTTCCTAAGTCTGCAGTCTTTTCAAGGCCCTGGGATACCATGGTGTAGGATGACTACCTTTCTACTTTCCTTGAGCATCTATTTTTGATGGTGGGGGGGTGGGGAGGAACAGACAAGCATGTAAACAAAGAAACGTGTGTGACAGTGTGTGATAGATGAAGTAAATAAATCAGGGAGATGTGACAAAGAATAACTGGGAACTGAGGAGGGGAGTATACTTTAGCTGGGGCAGTCAGGGAGGGTCTCTCTGACGAGGTGACATTTAAGCTAAGATATGAATGATAAGAAGGGGAGCCAGCCATGGGAAGAACTAGATCACTGGTTTTCAACCTCAGTTGCCCACTTGAGCCCCCTAGGGAGCTTTACTGATGCCTGGGCCTACCCCTAGAAATTGTGATTTGATTGGTCTGTGGTTCAGTCTGGGCATAAGAATTTTTAAAAGCCTCCAGGTGATTCTAATTTTCATCTAGGATTGAGAATCGCTGAACTAGAGGAAGAGTTCCAGACAGAACAGCAAAAGCAAGTGTTGCAAGGCAGGAATGAGCTTGCCAAATGTTCAAGGAAGAAAAAGAGGGCAGGGTAAATTGCCATTGGGTGAAATCTGGGGATAGAATAAACAAAGGCATGCTGTGGTTCCATCAGAAAAGTGAGGAGCCCCCTTAGATATGGGGCAGGAGGAGAGAAGACTTGAAGGAAAAGTAATGGTTAGAAATTGAGGGCTTTAAAAGCTCAGCGGAGAAGCTGAGCTTTTCCTAAAACATTCAAGAACTAGTAAATCTTCAGCTGCTTATATCTCTCGAAGGTAGTGAATTCTTGAAATCTACCCTCTGCTTCACAGAAGCAGGTCTGTTCAGAACTACCACTTTCAAAAAGAGATAATACTATAGAGAAAAAAACTGTGATGGGGAAGGTGAAGAAGCTTCTGCCCTAAAGTACTACTGACGTATTCATCCCTCATACATCTACAGTCACACTCCTACAGTTACACTCATAAGCTATATCTATGTGCACAAGGGTGGTCACTACAGTATTATTTATAAAGCAAAAACATTGCAGTGCCCAGCAATAGATGGATGGTTAATAAACTACTTCCATACTACACAATGCTACACATATATTAAAAAGACAGTAGACCTGCAGTTACTGATATGGAAAGTTGTCCAAAATATACTGTTAAGGAAAAGGGGAAAAAACAAGCTATAGAGTCAAATCCAGATGCAGTCTATTTTCATTTGTGTGTGTGGAGAGGATGGAGGGAGCAGGGTGTAGGGGAAAAGTGAAGCCCCTAACCTCATATATTTTTGAGCACCAAGGAAAAATCTAGAAGGATAGATATCAAAGTATAAATTGGGGACTGGGATAAGAGGAGAAAAGGGGAGAAAGTCACTTGCTACTTTATATAATTTCCCTTTAATATATTTTACAATTAATTTTGGTATAAAAAAGATTTTAAAGGAGGGCTATTGTAGGACCTATTACATTAAAATAATATTACATGTTACATTGTTATTACATAAAACTAAGAGCTGCTGCTATAATTGAAGGAACAGGATTTAAAGGTGTTAAAAATGTTCTTAAAATAACGTAACTAGTTGTTGTTAGGTGCTTTCCAGTCGATTCTGACTTATAGTGACCCCATGTGACAGAACAGAACTGCCCCGTAGGGTTTTCTAGGCTGTAATCTTTATGGGATGCTATGACCCTATGGTCATAGCTATAGGGTCACCATGAGTTGGAACTGACTGGATGACAATGGGGTTTGGTTTAGTAGGTAATACAGTCATATATTTCAAAATCCAGAAGTTACAAAGGGGTACACAGTGACAGTTTTTCCATTTTCATCCCAAAGCCACCCAACACCAGCCCCACTCCCACCCCAGGAAAGCAATGTGACTGTATCCTTGGGCATCCTCCCTGAGATATCTGTGTACATACAAGTCATTGTGCACTTTATTCTGCCCCCACTCGCCCTCACACTTTCACCTTTTTCACATACCCAGCTTTTCACCTTGCCTTTTTCCCCTTGTAAGAATATCTTGGAGTTCCTTCATATCAGTAAAGACTATATTCATCCTTTTCTAGCTACATTGTAATTCATTGGGTGGATCCACCACTGTTTATTTAACCAGTCTCTCATTCTTTTTTTATTCCATTTTTTTCCCATAATAAACTCATCTTTATTATTCTATTTTCCCAGATGTATGTCTGTTTGGCTGTGACTAAACTTATTCTTTTTAAAGCCATATTAACATACATTCCCAGGAGAGGGCAAATAAATTGTAGTCTGTTCACACAATCGGATGATACAGCAGTGAAAAAGAATAAACCAGAGCTACACATATCAACATGAATAAATCTTTCAGACGCGATATTGGGTGAGAGAAGCAGGCTGTAGAAGGATATGTATGATATGATTCCATTTATACAAAGTCTAAGAATACACTGAACAATATTATATATTGTTTCCAGATGTCTGCATAGGGAATAAAGGAATAAAGGCATGTGTAGGAATGATAAGCACCCATCTCAGGATCCCAGTTACCTCTGGGAGTGGAGGGGCACAGAAAGGGAGAGGCATGAGGGGTGCGCAGGGGCCTTGGTGAGGTTTGATTTTCAGAATGTGTGGGGTGATTACTGTACCTGCCTCCTAAGCCTGTTGTGAGGCTTTAAGGTGTTAATGTATGTAAAGCTCTTGACCCAGTGTTTTGCACATAGTCAGCTGACATTATTACAGCTTTGGTGGGTGGCAGAATGTCTGTGTGTCTAAGACCCTCCCTCCCTTTTCTGTCCTCCACCCTTCAAAGGCCACTCCCTCATCTCCTCCAGCTGCACTGGGGCATCTGTAATGACATCTGACGCTCGCGCCTGTTCAGCATTGACTGGGCTCCCCACTCTGAGTCCAGAGCCTGTGTTTTCCTTAGGGAGGCGCTTCCTCCCCATCTATCCATGTGCACAGGCTGGGGAGACACCACCCTGACTCCAGGGGTGGGTGACCATCCCTCTGGCCACGTGTCAGAGTGAAGGACAAAGGGGCCTGATCAAAGTGGTGGTGGCAGTGTCCAGCGATGGCAGCCAACTTGATAGGAGGACAGGGCCCCTGATGGTGTAGGGTGAGTGAGGGGACAGTCAGCCCCTCTCTCCACCACTGGTTTCTGGTTTGGGCAGTGGGTGAAGGATACAGAGCAGGGGAGTCCAGGAGGAAGAGAAGGTTTGGGTGAGAGGTGACATGCTGAGTTCAGTTCTTGACAACTTGAGTTCGGGGTGCCTGGGTCAGCCATGTGGAAGCAGTTAGGGACTCAGGGTCATTAGCTGGAAGAGGAGGCAGGTGAGAAGACCATACAGCCTGCTAGGTGAATTTTCTAGAACCCAGCAGAATGGCTGACTGACCGTGGGAAATCACCTGTTCTGCCTCTTTCAGCCCTGGGCCAGGCCTGCTTTTTACTCAGGCCTGCCGGCCCCTATGCCCCAGGTGGCCCGCCTCTGCATTCAGGAGCTAGAATTTCTCCCACCCCCGCTGGCCCTGCTTGGTGCCAGTGTTCTGAGGACTTTGCTCCTGCCCAGAGTTTCGAAGCCACAGCTGGGAGGCAGCCAGGGGCTAGGGAGCCCTGCTCGGACGTCATTCCTCGCCATGTCACCTCTAGCGTCCACTCGCTGAGGGCCTGCATCCTTCCTGCAGCCACCCCCATATCTCCAGAGCCTTCATTTCTCAGGAAGCATCTGAGGAACTCGCCAGCCTGTGGTTCTGGGCAAAAGCATCATTTTCCTCAAGTCGTCATTAGCAAGGCGATTTCTTGGGCAGGAGAGAGGGAGAGGGTGTCTGAGGGACAGGGCTGGGTGCCCTGTGGGGCCTGGAGCCATGGGTCGCATGTCTTAGGGGCCAGAGATGGCAAGGGGGCCTCTCTGCCTCGCTCCCATGGCTCCTAGTTGCCGAAGCACTTATTTATGCATAATACTAAAAACATCTGTTGGGTGCCTGCTCCCAGGGTGCCAGGCTCCCTGTGCCATGGTGCTCACGTTCTCATTACAGAGATGAGAATGAAGCAGGGGCTGGGGAGTGACGTGGGGTGACTTTAGACATGGGCGCTGGTGCAGCTGCTCCAGGGAGAGGCCATGGAGCAAAGTGAGGAAGAGGCTCTAAGGGGCTAGCTGTGGGCGGAGGAGGCAGCGAGTCCAGGGGTCCAGGTGGGAATGTGCTTTGGGCTGCGGGGATGGCAGGGAGGTGGGAGGGGGTCAGAGAGGTAGGCAAGGGTCAGATCACACTGGGCTTTGCCGGCCATGGGAGGAGACCGGGGAGGGGGCGGGATTCTGAGAGGCTGGGAAGCCACTGGGGGGCCTGAGACTGGTGGTTGGTGGGAGAGTAGGTTTCCCTCCCTTAGGATCCCTCAGGCTGCTGGGGGTGAGTGGATGGGGGGACTGTAAGGGCAAGAGGGGAAGTGGAGACTAGGGCGGGATTGGGGGCTGCTGACGGCTGCTCTTCTTCTCTCCTGGACCCTGGGTGCTGGGAGGAATGTGTCTCATGGGTGCCTCCCGGGAATCGCTCACATTTGCCCCGAGGAAGCTAGAGTTTCTGCCTTCTGTTAGAACCTGGGCGGGACACACCAATTCACCACTGCTTATAGGGCATCTCCCCAAACTGGAGAGTCTCTCGGACCCCAGGTCTAGTTAAATTTTCTGCTTGGGAAGCCTCACGTGAGCACCACTGGGCCACTTTAAGGCTGTGTCTGGAAACCCGTGGCTTTGTCCCTAAGAACTGGTTTCAGGGGTGTGATGGGGAGTGGGGCGGGGGTTGCTCCTGTCCAGATGGCGGCTCCCAAGCCCAGCTCTTGACACTTTCCTCACATGGCCAGTCAATCCTGAGCAGCAGAGTCATTGGCTTCTCCAGGCAGCAGATCATTCTAACTTTCATTCCGGACCATGATGCTGACTCCTCAGCCTTGGGGGTTTCTACAGCAGTTCGTGTTTACAGAGAGATTCACATCCCTACACCTCAAACCCACTGCCGTCGAGTCGATTTGGACTTATAGCAACACTACAGGACCGAGTGGAACTGCCCCACAGGGTTTCCAAGGAGCAGCTGGTGAATTCGAACTGCTAACCTTTTGGTTTGCAGCTGAATGCTTAACCACTGCGTCATCAGAGCTCCACATCCCTACAAGAAAAGAAAAAAAACAAAAACAAAAACAAAAAACATTGCCGTCGAGTTGATTCTGACCCATAGTGACCCTATAGCGACCCCACAGGACAGACGAGAACTGCCCTAGAGGGTTTCCAAGAAGCTGCTGGTGGATTTGAACTTCTGACCTTTTGGTTAGCAGCCGTAGCTCTTAACCACTGCACCACCAGGGCTCCATCCCTACAAGGGGCAATGATATTTCATGAAGACTAAGGGCTCTGGAGTCGGACAAAACTAGGTTAAATCCCAGCTGCTAGCTGTGTGCTCCTGGGTGAACCACTCGCCTTTCTGCACCTCAGTTTTTGCATCTGAAAACTGGGCCTAATGACAGCCCCCTTTTCAGATGGTCATGTCGGGAAGTGACAAGTTGAGGACTGGCTCAGTGAATCAAGTGCTTTGCAAAGAGCCCGACACAGAGAGAACCCACAATGCACGATGGCTCTTACTGGCCTACATTAGCCCATTTGATCCTTTGCAGCAAGTGATAAGTGGACATTATGCCCGTTTTACAGATGCGGAAGTGGAGTTCACAAAACTACTAAGCAGTGCATCCAGAACTAGGGCTCAGGCTTTATAATTTTGTCTGGTCCATCTCCCTGCCGCCCAAACAAACAAAATCAATAATGAGAGGCAGTATACGGTGGTTATAGCAGAGGTTGACAAGCTCTCGCTGGAGAGGGTAGAGAGTAAATATTTAGGCTTTTCTGTCTGCCTGGTCTCAATTGCAGCTACTCACCACCGCCACTGTAGCATGAAAGCAACCACAGACAAAACATAAATGAATGGGTGTGTCTGTGTGCCAATAAAACTTTATTTATGGACACTAAAATTTCGGTTCTATGTAATTTTCACGTGTCATGAAAATTGCTCTCCTTCTGATGTTTTTTTCAACTCGTTAGAAATATAAAAACCATTCTTAGCTCAAGGGCTGTTCAAAAACAGTCAGTGGGCTGGACTTGGCCCACAGGCTGTAGTTTCGAGCGTGGACTTTGAAGCCTGATGGCTTGGGTTCGAAACCTGGCTTTACCACTTGCTAGCTGTGTGGCCGGGTGAAGTTACTCTCTGAGCCTCAGCTCTCACATCGCCAGGTGGGGATAACAACAGCATCCATCCCATGGGCTGTGGTGAGAAATGTGTGTGTCGCTTTATGGAAAATGATTTGAACAGTATTTGGCCCATGATACTGCTACATGGGTGTTGTATTATTCCTCAAGACACACACATGCTGGCGTTTGCAGGAATTAAAACAATACATCAAAGGAAAACATGGCTGAAGTTCCCTGTGATCACCCTTCACCGCTGCCGCAATCTTGGCCCCTGTTGTTCCCCACTGAGAAATACCTTTCCAAATCTTTTGTTACCTATTTCCATAGAAAAGCAACAGTATTGCTTTATGCATCTTCTTACTTCATCGTATCATACTATGCATACATATTCACCCAACAAACAGCAGCCAACAAAACCAACTCTCATTCCTGCCTTTCTGGAGCTTACGTTCTAATGGAGGGAGGCAGACAATGAACAAATAAATCTGAAGTCCACAGGGTGCGATGTGTCAGCTGGGAACCAGGGGAGGAGAAGTAGAGGGAGGGGTGGGGGTGCCCTTCGAGTAGAGTGGTCCGGGAAGGTTGCAGGGAGGAAGTGGATTTGAGCACCACCTGGCTCAAAAAAGCAACTTGCTTTTCCCACTCAAGCATACATCTTGGCCCTTTGATGGCTTTGCCCACAGATCCCCTCGCCCAGCTCATCTGCCTCCAGGGCAGGGGTGCTTCATGGCCAGTCAGCCCTTTCTGCACCGGGGGACTTTCTGGTTGTTTGTTTCTTTCAGTAACAACCAAAGCTGTAAGCAACAGTTTAGCCAGGCAGCCTCCTGCATAGGCTTTCTCCAAAATAAATATGGAAAAGAGGAAGTGCTGGGGCCTGGGGGTGCACTCAGGTTCACTGAGATGGCCGGATTGCCCTCGGATTGCTGTGCATTCCGTCATTTCCCAGAGTCCCCCCAGCACCTGCTGGTCTCTCCCCTACAGCCCCAGCTGGAAAACTCGGGTCATTCCTACCTCCCTTCCCACTAGCTGTCCTGCCTTCTCCAACCCTCTTCAGCCATAAGCACGTGCTTTATACCATTCTCTTCTTGGCATCAATGCCTCTCTTTCTGCCCCTTTCATGGCATATGCCCACCTTTGGGATTAGTGACTCGGGACAGAGTCCACAGAGGGCCTTGTGGAGTGCTTGGGAAGTGCCAACAGCTTCCTCCCCATCTGGGCCTCCCAACGAGGCCCCCATGGCCGCCATGATGCTCTGCCTGGAAGGGCCATCTCACCACCTGATGACAGGAAATGCCCAGGGCTCCCAGGCTTGGCCTTGCTGGCACCTCCAGGCGTGATCCTGCTCCCCTGGATGCCCTGGCTGCTGCCGCCCACTGCTCCCCCCAGCTGGATTGGAACCCTGGACTGGAGCCAGTTTTGACTCCAAAAAGGAACCCACCCCCACATCCTTGTTAAAAATGTCCCTGTTCCCAGGCCCCGAGTCCCGCGGAGGCTCTTCTCATTCACAGGGGAGATGTCAGTGTGGTAGCAAAGAAGGGCGAAATAGCGGGTGCTCTAAGTCTCTGTCCTCGGCCCCAGGGGACCCCAAGTAGCTCTGGATAATTTGATTACCGGGCTGCCTGGAGCCAAGGCAAAGGCATGGTGAGGAATTTGAAAGAGGATGGGGTGGGGTTTTCAGATTTGGAGAATTTGTCTGCTCTGAGGGTGGGAGGAGGGAACAGTGTGTATGGCCCGAGGAGGCTACAATTTACATTTCCTGGGAGTCCGAGGGGGTCACTAAATTCCCTTCCCAGGACTTAGGAATCCATTCTCTCAGGAGGTAATGGGGGCTGGCTGTATGCAGAGCCAGGGACAGAGGGTGACGCACAGGAGATGTCGCAAGTGGCTTCTGCCACCAGGGCCTGGGCAGATCCAACTGAAGCACAGAAACTGGACACGTGTCAGCCCTGATCACCCATCAAAGGTGGGCTGTTGTTGTTAGGTGCCACTGAGTCCATTCCGACTCGCAGCGACCCTGTGTGACGTACAAGAACTGCCCCATAGGGTTTTCTAGGCTGTAATCTTTACGGGAGCCAAATGCCACATCTTTCTCCTGCAGAGCAGCTGGTGAGTTCAAACTGCCAACCTTTCAGTTAGCAGCCAAGCACTTAACCATTGTGCCACCAGGGCTCCTTTCAAGGTAGGAGGGATCCCCAAATGTGCTGGTGTTTCCAAAAGGGGAGCAGGGTAGGGTGTATTTTGTCTTTCAAGGGTCTAGTTACCTTCCTTCCAGTGGGACCTCTCCATTTTTATCTGGGGATCTACTCGCAGCCCATGTTGCCAGGGTGTGTAGACACAGTTTGTCAAGATTCACTGTACACTTGATCTGAGCCCACTTCTGTCAGAACACTCTGCTTTAGTAAAATGTTAAAGAGCAATGCCCTGGAAACAGAGACTATTATTCGAGAGATGAAAAAGCCGAGAAGCAGAAGATGTAAGTTAACTGCTCAAGGCCACACATCTCAGTGAGTGTCACATGGTCGGGACAAACCCAGGCCGTCCGGCCCCAGAGCTGTGCTCCTAACTGCTGGACCACACTGCCTCTTCCAAGCCAGGAAAGGGCAGAACTTACCTTGGAGTAGTCGAAGCCATGCTTCTCCTTCACCCCATTCCGACAGAGTGTGTAGTTATAGAAGCGGGAGTTTTTAAGGAGTCCGACCCACTCCTTCCAGCCAGGGGGCACGTAGGAGCCATTGTACTCGTTAAGGTACTTCCCGAAGAAAGCTGGAGGGGGAGAAGGAGGCCATGTGAGAAACAAGGCAGTAAAAGGCTTCTCCCACCATCACCCAACGGAGTTGATTAAACCACCATCATGTGTGCAAAGCACGAGAACAACACTACCCCTTTGAGCAAAAGTTTTACTTTTTGTCATGCCGTGGAGTCCTTCGGAAGGCAAGCGAAGCCCATGGAACCCCCTTCTCAAAATGTTTTTAAACGCATAAAAGAAACTACGTGAGATCACATGAAAATCAATTATTTTGAAATATAGTTATCAAAGTACTAAAAGAATCTGTGATACAGGAATAAGTGTCCTTTTAAATTAATATATTTAAAAGAAGACCTAGCAGAGAGTCTGGCAATTTCAAAGTAGTGACTGGTGAGTGAATCTATTTTATTTTGGGCTATCTGCAACAATTTTAATGGGATATTAAAATATTGGTGATTTCTATGGGTGAAAAAGTTATAGATTCTGCTAGCACACTGTGATCTGTGGCCTACACTTAAAATGGAAGCAAATGCTAAATTTCAGTTGCAAGTTAGTGAAAATAGAAGTATAATTTTTTCCCATTCAAGTTTATAGGCCTACTGAATTCTATACATTACACAGCCACCAGAATGATTAGTGTTAAAAAGAAACTGACAATACCAAGTGTTGATGGGGATGTGGAGCAACTGGAACTCTCATACACTGCTGGTGGGGTAGAAACCAGTCCAACCACTGTGGGAAACCAGCAGTGTCTAGTAAACTCAAACATACTCATACCTTCTAACCCAGTGATTGAAATCCTGGGCATTTATCCAACAGGAATGCATTCATACATTCACCAGAAGTCATGTACAAGAAATGTTCATTGTAACACTACTGGTGATAGCAAGTAACTAGAAACCCATCAACTGTCCATCAAAAAAGAATGGATAAATACATTGCTGCATATTTATATAATGGAATGCTATACAGAAATGAGACGAAGAGAACTTGACCTACATTCGGTCACATGGATACCACCCAACAAGCTACCTAATGTTACGAGAAATAAAACAGATATGAAAGAACACGTGATATTATGATCGCATTTATATGAAGCTCAGGGGCAGTGGTGTTCAGTGGTAGAATTCTCATCTTCCATTCAGGAGACCTGGGTTTGATTCCTGCCCAAAGCGTCTCATGTACAGCCACCACCTGTCTTTCAGTGGAGGCTTGTGTGTCGCTATTATGCTGAATAGGTTTCAGCAGTTTTCAGACTCAGAGTAGGAAGAAAGGCCTGGCAATCTATTTCTGAAAATCAGCCAGTGAAAACCCTATGGATCACAACAGTCCGATCCACAACTGATCATGAGGATGATGCAGGACCAGGCAGCATTTTGTTCTGTTGTGCACGGGGTCGCCGTGAGTTAGGGGCCAACTCAACAGCAGCTAACAACAAGGACAACAACATATGAAATTCAGAAATAGACAACACTAATCTATGGCGCTGGAAGTAAAACCAGTGGTCATCACTGGACATGGTGGGGTGGAAGGGGCACGGGGGGCTTCTAGGGTGATGCTCATGTCCTGTTTCTTGCTGGAACACAGGTGGTTCAGCTGATGAATCCTCACTGAGCTGGACACCCAGGAGCAGGGTGCTTTCCCATCTGTATGCTTTACTTCAACAACAAAGCTACTTTAAAAACATCACCCTCGCATATCTGGAAGGGGACAGAACAAGCTCTGTGTGGGTGATGAGTTAACAGACAAGGTATTTTTCATGGTACTTTTTTGGGTTTTTGTATTTTTTCCCAGTGAGCATGTACAATATCTAATAATGGTAACCCATTAAGCTTTTTTTTTTTTTTTTAATGGAAAAATTTTTTAAGAGTTTGTCAGGAGTCAGAGGTCTTACCCCAGCCCTCTCTTTCCAGATGAGGGCATCAGAGCACAGAAACGCACAACAAATATTGTTGACGGTACGAGAATACATGTGTTCGAGGTGGCTGTAGGGATTAAATGACATCTTGTTTAGCAAATGCTTAGCACTGTGCCCATGGGATCGCTGGGTGGTGCAAACAGTGAACACACTCAGCTGCTAAGCAAAAGGTTGAGGGTTTGAGTCCACCCAGAGGCACCCTGGAAGAAAGGCTTGGCGATCTACTCTGAAAAATGAGCCATTGAAAACTCTATGGAGCACAGTTCTATTCTGACACACACGGGGTCGCCATGAATCAGAGTTGACTCAATGACAACTGGTCTGGTTTTCTGGTTTAGCACTGTGCCTAGCAAACACAGGTTGTCCCTGACTTAGGACGTACTGGAGTTACATGAACTGCACTTAGGACCGTCCGGTTTTTTGGTACATCTTATCGTTAGTAATACGTACCACATACAATGTTGCAGCGCAGAATTTGCTGATGTTATTCTCAGATGTTCACTTGCAGATGTTCAATGTTGTGATTTATAAAGTTACGGCTAATAAGAGGCAATAATAATGAAAACTAAAAATAAAAATGAGGTATTTGACTTACGTCAGAACCGACTTACGATGGAGTCATTAGAATGGAACCCCAGGGTAAGTCCGGGAGTACCTGTAGTAAGTGCTCAGGGTCACTGGGTCTCAGTTCAGAACCCAGGATGAGATGAGAGAGACACTGAAAGTCCACAGAGGAAGGAGGAGAGTGGGCAGGGCTGGGATACTGTACACCACAGACAATGAGATGGTCCTTCCGCCTGGAACCTTAGAAAGAGTACAGAGAGTCGACTGCAGGCTGATGGCCCCAAAAGAGAGGCCTGGGCCGGGCGACACTGCAATGGGGCCAAAGCCTGGTAAAGGGGCTTCCTGGAGACCTGGCAAGCAGCTGGCATGCCCAGGAGCGGAAGACTCCATAGGAACCGAAGTAGCCGGATTCCTGGGTCCCCAAGGTACAGTGGGCAAAGGAAAGTGCTCCCATTAAATGCACAGCCAGGCAGTGGGTGCTCCTGCGGGAGGAGCTGATGAAGCACCTTCTAGAAGGATCTGGGTGGGTCCTGAGCCTTGGAAATAAGGCCCAAGGTGGAGCTCACCTCGCGTGGGTGGGAAAGACAAAAATAAAGGGACAGAGCCCGGACGTCCTGGGGAGGAGGGGTGGGAACCGGCCGCACCATCTCCATATCCTGAGTAACATCCAATGTTTAAAGGGTGGAATGTAATTAGGTGGTGGGTGCCTAATTAAACAGCAATCGAGCGTCCCTGGCTGCGTGTCAGGGAGTAATGAGCTGAGATACTGGCTGGCGCAAGAGGCAGAATTAAAGCACCAGGCACGCTAAAGGCCTGTTTCGCTTTTTCTAGAACATTGCATGTTCAATACATTCAGCTGCATCCATCTCCTTAAAGCAGTGGTTCTCAGCCCGGGATACTGGGCAGTGTCTGGAGACATTTTGGCTGTCACAACTGGGGAGGGGGTGTTACTGGCATCTAGTGGGTAAAGGCTAGGGATACTGCTAAGCACCCTACAACGCACAGGACAACCCCCTGGAACAAAGAATTATCCAGCCCCAAATGTCAACAATGCTAAGGTTGAGAACCCTGATCTAAAAACTCCTTCCATTCCCCGGGCCCTCCAGCACCCCTTCCCTCAGTTCTCCAGAGCCACACTGTGAGAGGTGAAGGGCCTAGAGGTCACATACAGTCCAGGAAACAAGATCTACCAAACCTTAGTCACCTTATTCCCCACGTCAGAATGGGAATATGGGAATAAGAGGAAAACTGCCCCAGGCAGAGGAAACGGCAAGTGCAAAGGTCCTGAGGCAGGAACAAACAAAAACCAAACCCACTGCCATCGAGTGGATTCCGACAAGTTTGGGGCATTTGAAGAACCCAAGGAGGCCAGTGAGGGAGGGAGGAGATGATGTCACAGGGGAGAGAGGCAGTTCACCCAGGGTCCTAGAAGCCACAACAGGAAGTATGCCGTGAACCTCAAAGGGGCCCAGGCACCCTGGAAATATTACATGCCAGAGTTTGCATTTTATGTGTATTTTTGTGGAAACAGATCCACAGCTTTCAACACATTTGGAAAGGAACCAGGACCACAAATAATTTAAGAACGTCATCCCTCTTTCATTTAAGAGAGAATGAAAGCTCCGAGAAAATGGCCCCCTGAATTCCCACTGGGAGAATGAGGTGCGGTCCCAGGTCTGTCAGTTCCTGGCCAGTGAGTCTTCTGGTTTGTCCCTGAAGATTTGGGCCAAGGTCTTTCTGATGAGCGTGCAGCTCAGAATGCTGAAGAGCTGAATCTTGGCCCAGCTGGTGGGAGAGGGCTTGCTGGGGAGAGGAGGGTGCAGATCCTCCTATGCCTCTGGAAGCCACCCCCACCCATTATTGCCCAATGCCATGGGTGTCAAGGTGTCGGGAGCCATTTTCCTCTGCTAGAATCTCCTCTTTCACATCTCTCTCCATTCTCCGGTCCCAACCCTTAAACATTACAGAAAGAGTTTACTATTCAAGCTCCACAAGGCCCTAGAAAACAGGGCTCCCGTCAAAGGCTTTTAGTGCCAAATTAGATCTTGCTCTCATTTGATTAGATTTCCCCAAGGCAGTTTTTAAAATGGTTATTCCGGCACCAGTGGAGGTGGGAGGCGCAAATTAGCATGGGCCCTGGTGCGCCGGGGCTGGGAGACACAGCCAGGAAAAAGAGCAGGAATTAAAATCAAGATTAAAAATACAACCCGTGTTGTGGCTGGGGCGCGGGAAGCTCGGAGTCACTGAGCTTTGGTGGCTGGGACGGGGCAAGAGGGGGCGGCAAATGGGGGGCTGGTGAGGGGGCAGAGCAACTTGGCAGGCAGATGAAGAGAAGTGAAATGCCCAGCCAGGAAAGGCCACTGATGCTGGCTGATGATGCCCCGTGGAAGCAGGGCTGGCATCGATTGAAAGGGCAGATGCTTAACTGTCACCCATGTGCCAGGCACTGGGTGGAAATTTTACACCAGGCGGTGGAGACAGTTGTTTTGCCTGCTCAGTCCTGACTGTGGTCCTTTGGGTACCACCATTTCCTCA